AAATGCATTTACTTTGATTTCCGTTCGCAAATTTTATGATTCTATATGTTAATACGTTACTGCTCCTTTTAAGCCCCCCAAACGGATTCCACTATAAATTCCGGGCAAACCGCATAAAAAGCGCGTTAAATCTCGACTCAATCATTTTGTGTTCATCGCATCGTATGAACAAACCATATATATGTTATATTTAAATAGCCATACTCGGAGCACAAACATAAATCTCGGGAAGAAAAGCATCCTCGATTTGAGCATCTGCGCTGGCAAATTTAAAGCCATTACACTAATAAATAATCTGCCACAAATTTAGCACATTGCCATCGATTTAATACAGCTTCAGCCTCATATGCAAGAGCCATGGAGCCACAGAGCTTTTCGCTGAGGACACGCCCACAGACAAATCCGAGTTCAAATCGCATAGCCCACCAACCTCACACATGCTCCATATAAATGCGGAGGGATGAGCAGGGGATGCCTGGGCTAAAGGAGGTTTATTCCAAATCCAAGTGCTAAAGGGAGCCAGGAAAAAATTCATATGTCTGCTGCTGTGGCTGCTTTCAATTGCTTTCGGTTTTCGGTGGTGGAAAGGGGGAACCCAAGCCAGCGGGGCAGCGTTTGGCCATCATCATCGATGGCTGCTTTCAATATCTAATAATATTGCGCATACGCCACGTTGCCAGATTCCAGCTAGCAGCTTCCACAGTCGATGCTGCTGAAGCTGTTGCTGGTTCACTTACGCCGAGTGCGTGTTGGCGCAATAATCAACAGTTATATTATGAATGCACAATCACAGTAAAGACAGTCGCAGACAAAATAGTAGTTATTCAAATGAAATACATTGTGTTTTGTTTTGAAACTTAAGAAAACATGTATTTCGGTTTTTTTGGTTAGGTGTTTGGAGCATTATTATATTAAATATATTTATGTAAGTGAATAAAAAGATATGTTACATATTCTAGACAACTTTTTATGGGTACAGTAAAGTGTTAAGTATATAAAATCTGTTTTGAGAACTTTAGTTGAAAACATGATAAGAATTATATTGTTAAGGACATACATATTTTTATTTATATTATTTACTATATTGATTTCACTAGTAAAATAATTGGTACATAGCGCTTAAAATACAGCTTATTCAAAACAACTTATTATTTTCGTTTGTCTTCAAAAAGTAAAATTATTTACAAATTTGACCATGGTTGCTGCGTTCATAATGCGCATTTTAACCCCTTTGAAAGGGGAAGAACACAAACTCAGTCTTATACTAACACACACATCACACTCCATCTAAGTGATACGATAAATTCGGGATTTTCTTTGCATTATGTGCAGATTTAGCTGATATTCTTTTGCCACACCCTCCTCCTGGCCCCTCCCCAATTTTCCACACTCCAGATGAAAAACTTTTTTAATAATAAATAAAAGTGCTTAACTTAATTCGTGCTCTTTTCTTTTGCTCCCGCTTATGTGCACTGTGGATTTTCCGCTTGTTTTTCCTCATTTTATTTGTTTCTTTGATTTGACACGCCCCGCTTCCACCGCCCAGCACACAATGTGTGGAAATAATTTTTCGATTATTGTCAAGTTTTGCTTTATTTTCCTGTCCGCTCTATAGCTGGAGTTTTCTTCTATTTTCGTGTGGCATTTGTGGCTGTTTACCTCGCCAGCGGCCAAAATGCAATTTATGTGTTGAGAGCAGCGAATTTTATTTTATTTTCGTTCGATTTCTGCTTGTTTGTGTTTCTTCTTTCAATTTTTCTTTATTTTTTGCGGTTTGCTTTTATTTTGGATACTCGTGTGAGGTTATTGGCAGTTGTCATTTGTGTGTGATTTACGTTTATCGGTTTGAGCCAAGCGTGTAATTTTCTTATTGCAGATGGCAAATAGGGAGCTAATCTGCGGAGGGCGGTTTCGGTATTTGCGGGTTATGTTTACGGTTTAAGGGAAGTTTAGAAAACTGTCCGCGAATTTAACGTCTGTTTCTGCACACATGAACATGCAATATTTTGTAAAATGGCACTGTTCTGATTCACACTGTTAATTCACAGCTTTGCAATTGTTAGCAATTTTATATTAAATCTAATTGCGGTCATAAAGCAATCCCAAAAAACTTATGCGTTGTCCAAAGTAAGCAAGCGTTTTATGAAATAACAATTAGTTTGAAATCTAACGAACAAAAGAACATAAATTCAATTAAGGTTATTAAAATAAATATAAATATTGATAAGCAAGTTCGATATAAACTTTATAGCTTTGTTTATAAAAATCATTCAAAGAATTCATTTTAAAAATATTTAACTTATAAACTTACCATCGGATCCAACAAACCATAAGTAAAAGGTCCGTAGAAATACTTTATTTTTATTTGCCTTTTCTGAACAAAATTTCACAACTAAAGACCACAATGCAATTGATTTTTCAAAGCAATCAATCAAACAAAATATTTTCATAAATATAAATTTGTAAGCTTCCGCAGAGGCTCTTGAAATTTTCTAAGCCTTAAACATTTTTCTTGCATTTACATTTTCCCCATTATTCTCACGTTTTAACAACAGGCAAACTGACAAACTTGTAAAAAATGTCGGTTCAATTGAAAAATCCATTATTACCCAGCCAAGCAAAAGAAAAATGGAAATATTCATGTTTGTGTATCATAAAAATATCTAGAATGTTTCCGTTTTTGTCGCTGTATATCAATGAACTCGTTGTGGCTGTGTCTACGCATTGACAAAACATTTTCCAAAAAGCAATTAAAATTTTAATAAAATAAACTAAGCAAGGAACCGGAATAACAAGAATGGGTGGGAAATATGATGGTATGGTTGAGGGGACTTCGATACAGTAGATGACATTAAAAATCCTTACAAAAGATAAACACATTTTTCAGCTAGCTCAGGGCGGCACATATACACATATAGCTGACAAATATCGAAGAGGAGCATGGAGAAAAGATTAAATTCACTTAAGTGCAAAGTATGCAAATGACAAACAGAGTGGGGAGAGTAGGAGGCATCAGAGGGGTAGAGAAGGAGGATAGAGAGAGAAAGATAAAGAGAGACGGGGACACACCGAGACATATATGAAGTGCCTGGCAAGCTGAACACACGCAACCACATTGCCTGCATCTGAAGCTAGAAATATTGTAAATTCAAATTGAAATGCATGTGTGACATTTGCCATGCAATCGCCCACTGAAAGAGACGGGTAGAGATTGGAGCGAAAGAGATGGGAAGACCGAAAGGAGATCCATTCAGCAGATACAGAGATACAAATGCTTGTGGCAGCCGAGATACAAAAGAGTCCTGTTCGAGCCCTGACAAAATTGAATGCAATTTGACAAAAATCATAGTCTATAATTTCGGGCCACAAGCTTAGCTGACTTCTTACCAACTGGACCTATTTCTGGCCCGCCCCCTTTCCCCCTGAGTCACACACATCCTACCATTACGAGTTAATAATTGAACATTTTCGGTTTTAGGCAGAGCTAAATTGCTATCTTTTTTTGTTGGCCTGTTTGATTGGGGCTGTGGCTTCTTTTGGGTGAACAGTACGTTTTATATTTGCAAGGCTGACTTACAAGATAATATATAATAAATAAAAAATAAAAGCTATTCATAACTTTTGTAGTTATCAGCAGTTAGCCATCTTTTCTGGGACCATTTTGGTCTTAAAATTAATATAATCTAACAAACGCACGGCTGGTAAAAATATTTATAAATTAATCAACAGAGAAATCTATGTTTTTGATAGGTTTAATTTTAATTTAATTCGTATATATTTTTCATCTATCGCGCTTGTGACTCGTTTATAAATGTTGATATCTTTGTATTGGTTTTCTGTGATCATCTATTGCCCTAAATGATGAAACGCACTATATTGCCACATGCACCACATTCATGCACCGCACATTCAGTGGAAGGCTTTGCAAATATTGCCGCAAAAAGCAGAGGCAGTTCGCAGAGTGAGACGACACAGATATATATAGACATTTTTGTATTTGCTCGTTGAACTTGTGCACTGTGGCTCCCATATAACGCCCTGTCTCTTTCGCTTTCCCCATATCCGTCCTTTTTGCTCTGCAACCAACTCTTTTCCAGGGTCCTCGCCGTCTCTCTCTCTCAGGATTTTGTGAATGACTTTTTGGCACTAATTAAAAGTAGCAAATAATTTTCTATGCCAACTCACATACGCCCACACACACACACACTCACGCACAAGCAGGACGAGTGTTAGACAGAGAGGGAAAATGCAAATATGGCACGGCCTCTGCTCGGAAAACCCCCTTTCCAACCCCTTGAGCCCCACGCCCCTGTGACAATGACAATGCATGTGACAGTTTCGGTTGGCACCGTTGATAAGCGTCGCTTATTGTCATTCTGCCCCACTCTGCACCACCCACCCACACACTCTCCCACTCACACACGCACCCACCGCCACCCAGTTGACAAAAAAGTTGGCCAGCTTAAGTCGGAAAATTTATTATTATTTTTCTGCATTGCAGGCTGTGTGCAATTTTAAATGGATTTTAATTAGTTTTGAATTATTTCGGCTTTCGTTTTAGTTTTTCGGCATTTCATGTGCCATTTTGGCATTAAACTTTGGCCCATTATAGTATCCTGCGGTTTATGTAAAGTTTAGTTATTTTTGGAATAATTGTTTAAGGGGACATTCATCTTGCCGTTGCCAAAAATGTGAATTTATGGTCTGCTGGTATGAAAAATGTGTGAAAACAATGTGAAAATGTATAGTCCAGCGTTTAGGTAAATGTACTAAATTTGTTAAGACCATCAATAACAAGATGAAAACATATGCAGGTACATAATAAAATAAATGAGTGACTAAATTGTATAAGATATTTAGAAATGTTATGCAACTCATAATCATAATCATTGAAGAGTATTTAAGAATTAAAATAATAAATTTTAGAATTACTATTTAATAAAATATTTTACATTTATTTAAAACTTGTATGTCTGTGAAAGGTATTATAATACAATATTATTAATAATATTGTAATTTACAGAATACAAAATAAATTTTTTCAATTTTTGTTTTATGATGTTCAAAAGAATAAAGTACTAACTAATTTTGATAACAGATCTGTAAACTATTTCTTGTCACCACCCTTCCCAGACAGCTCCTTCATCAGATTGAGGGCACTGCCAGCTTGGAACCACTTGATCTGCTGCTCGTTCAACGTGTGGTTCAACTGGATTTTGTCGCCGCCACCGTTGTTCTTGATCTCGGCATCCACCGGCTTTCCAGGTGCCAAATCCTTGAGGTTGAGCAGCGAGATCTTGCTCGTTGGCTGGATCTTGTCGTAGTCACCCGGGTTGGCGAATGTCAGGGCCAGCATGCCCTGTTTCTTTAGATTGGTCTCGTGGATTCGGGCAAAGGACTTGACAATAATGGCCACTCCACCCAAATGTCGTGGTTCCAGGGCAGCGTGCTCCCTGGAGGATCCCTCGCCGTAGTTTTCCTCTCCCACGGCACACCACCTCATCTTGTTGGCCTTGTAGTCACGGGCCACCGCTGGAACAGCATCGAATTGCCCAGACTTCTGGTTCTTAACCTTGTTCATCTCATTATTCTCGGCATTGGTGGCCCCGATGAACAAGTTATTGGATATATTGTCCAGATGACCGCGATACTTTAGCCATGGTCCAGCGGCACTTATATGATCCGTAGTGCATTTACCCTTGATTTTTATCAGGACCACCAAATCAATGTAGTCCTTGCCGTCCCATTTCTCAAAGGGCTCCAGAATTTGCAGGCGTTCCGACTTGGGATCCACATTGACCTTGACATCATCGCCCTTTTCCGGGGGAGCCTGATAGGTATCCTCTCCGGGATCGAAGCCCTTGGCTGGCAGTTCTTCTGCATGAGGGGCTTTCAGTTTGAACATTTTGCCATCGGCACCCTGAAGTTCGTCGGCCAAGGGATTGAAATCCAAACGTCCGGCAATGGCTAAAGCCGTAGCCATTTCCGGACTGGTAACAAAACAATGTGTGGCCGGATTGGCATCGTTGCGTCCGGTAAAGTTGCGATTGTACGATGTGACAATGGTGTTCTTTTCGCCCATTTTCACATCCTTGCGATCCCACTGTCCGATGCAAGGACCACAGGCATTCGCCAGCACGGTGCCACCGAACTTTTCCAGGACCTCGATGATGCCATCCCTCGCAATGGTGGCTCGAACTTGCTCCGATCCCGGGGTAACATTAAACGGGACGCAAGCCTTTAGGCCATGGCTCAAAGCATCAGTGGCAATGCTGGCACATCGGCCCATGTCCTCGTACGAGGAATTCGTGCAGGAACCAATCAAACTGACTTTAATATCCATCGGATAGCCGTTCTTCTCGGAGTTGGCACCCAGTTTGCTAATCGGATGGGCCAAATCGGGTGTAAATGGACCATTCACCAGGGGTTCCAGCGTGTCCAAATTGATCTCGATTACCTGATCGTACTTGCATCCCTTGTCCGCCGTCAACATGTCCTTGTACTTCATGGCCTCTGCGGCGATGTGAGCTCTGCCAGTGGCACCCAAATAGGTGACCATGCGCTCGTTGTACGGGAAAACCGATGTTGTGGCTCCGATTTCGGCCCCCATATTCGTAATGGTGGCCATTCCCGTGCAGGATATGGACTCCACACCAGGTCCATGGTACTCCACAATGGCCCCTGTGCCTCCCTTGACGGTCAGGATCTCGGCCACCTTGAGGATCACATCCTTGGGCGAGGTCCAGCCACTGATCTTGCCCGTGAGATGACAACCAATCACAGTGGGGCACTTCAGCTCCCAGGGAATATTCGCCATCACATCGACGGCATCTGCACCGCCGACACCCACGCACAGGCAACCCAATCCGCCGCCATTTGGAGTGTGGGAATCGGTGCCGATCATCAACAGGCCCGGAAAAGCGTAGTTTTCCAAAATGATCTGATGGATTATGCCGCTGCCGGGCTTCCAGAAGCCCAAGTTATATTTGGCGCACGTGGAGGAAAGGAAGTCATACACCTCCTTGTTATCCTTTTTAGCCCGGGCCAAGTCCTTTTCGCCACTTATTTGGGCCTCGATCAAATGATCACAGTGAACCGTGGAGGGAACGGCCACCTTCTTCAAGCCCGAGGAGATGAACTGCAAAAGTGTCATTTGGGCAGTGGCATCTTGCAAGGCCACGCGATCCGGACGCAGACGCAAATAGGTCTTGCCCCGTTCGATTTCCTGCGTATGCGGTTCATCCAGATGCGCATACAACAACTTTTCCGACAGCGTCAGTGGTCCAGTTAGTCGGGCCTTGACGCACTCCAGAGTCTCCTTCATCTTCTCGTAGGGCAATGGAATGCCGCAGTCGAAATTCGACATGGACACCTTCTTATACCGCGGATAACGAGCCAAGTGGAACTGGCGCACCATGGAACCCGCCAAACAAATATACCTCTGTGTTCGCTGAGCCATCTCAATGTTTCGATATAATTGCACTAATTTTGTGGAATGGCAGGATATGGAAAACAGTTCGTGTCGCTTAAATCAGATATAATAATGGCTGAGTGTTAAATACCGACTGCTTTGAATTCATTATATGTGTGTCTTTTATTTAACGCAGAGATTGCTTTGTTTGTTCACACGAATAAAAAGTGAGTAAAAACTGTAACTACATTTACAATACAAAATACACAGAGAAATTGACTATAAGTTGTAGGTGCCAAAACAGGGTGGAAACAAAAAATTAAATTTTTTATTTTACATATTAAAATATTTTTACACTGTTTTTGCATCTAAAACGTTGAATTTTAGAACTCGGTTTTCTTTGTGGGCACCTTGTTAAGTATTTCTAATCGCCATGTATTTGTTTAATAAATCGGCAGATTTTTTTAGACTTACTAAATTATTTTAGATAATTTCTAGCTTGTGTCTTATTTTACAACAATTAGCACTTTAAATATCCCCTGCAATTAAGCACTTGGGATTTATTTACTTCTTTAATGAAATGCATACCATCTTAATAGATGCTTCTACAAGTGTAATACCAGCTATTCATTAAACACAATCCTCACCTTTGGCAGCTTTATACTCATATTTATTGGGTTAGCTCATTGTTCCGTGCACATTTGATGCGAGCCGACAGATGCAGATACAAAGTTTGGATTAAGAGAGTGAGGTGGGTGGAAACGTCATCGGAATTGATGTTGCAAGCGGAATCAGGGTCTTGCCTGGCCATGCGATTGGAAAAGCGGTAGGAGGATGAAGGAGGATGCCCATCGATGGCATAGGCCAAGTGACAGACAACTAGAGACGATGAGGAGCAGCAAACTGGACGGCTGACAAACAGAAGGACAAGGGATGCCAGGATGCGAGCTGGCTACCAAAGTGTCAACTGCAAGTGAGTGTGACGGTGAGCACTGCATCCTCCTGTGATTGTGTTTGGTTTGCTGGCAGCGTGTCATAATGGGCGATGTGGGATGTGGGACAGAGGACACTGGACGCAGGACACAGGACACTGGGAACCGGTCAGGGGACATTGGTAGTTGGCCGCACCACATTCAATTGAAATCGACGTGCCTGTTGGCCACAATGCCATTGACGATCCTGTCGCTGCTCAGGCTCCTTCCTCGCTGCTGACGGCTTCTGGCCATGGTCGATAGTTGATGGCCGATGGTAGATGGTAATGGTAATGTGGTGCCACTTCCTCCCCCTTTCCGCCCTATAAGTAGGCAGCGGGGAGGCGCAACTATGCCAAAAATTGATTGGCATCTACTTAGCACACACTCTTCACCGCATCACTTTTTTTTCTATTGCCACTTGCACTTCACACTGACAAATGTGGATTTCTCAATTATAATCTTATAGTGTTTATTGATTTTCATTTGCAAAAATATTTCCTTTAATATTTTACTGATCTGTTAGCATACTAAAATGTCTTTTCTCTGTTCCAACAGAAATAACATTTAGTTTATTCTAATCGATTAGCTTGCTAAGGCTATTTAAAATGTTTATAAATAAAACTATTAGATTGTCAAAGGTTTTTTAAAGCTTTACATAAATACATGGGACATTTTAGTTGAACAAAATGTTTTAGAACAATCGGGTTTACAATAAAATCTTTACTTTTAAACTGCTCTTTTGTACTAATACAATTTTGCAGCGCAGTTTCAAAGATAAATTTAAAAAAATCTACATTCGAGATAAACTGTTTTATTTTTTGCTGAGTGCTGGCACTTTCAATACATTTTAAGTGCCGGCACTTTCAATACATTTTAAGCCTGGCAAACTTTGATTATTAATCTGTATAATTGATGGATTGGATTCTGTCGCTTTTAGCAACATCCGATTGGACATTGGAAACTATCCATCCACACAGCTATTTCTCTGGTGAAGCGTGCTGGGTCAATTTGATTTGGGGGCTGAAAATGTCAAGGTTGTGCAAATTTCATCTCAATGAAAACATGTCCTTTTAGTTTGGTGCGCTGTCATTTGCCATCGCATATTAGATTCCCAATCTCGTGCAACCGTCACCCACCGGTCATCATTTGCATCTCTCTCAGAAAGGAAAAATGCAATTAGCTTAAATATATTTGCGTTTGTCAACTGGCCTTGGCCGGAAAAGAGTCCGGTCAGAGTCAAACATTTGCCCCAACGATTCTCATTCGCTTAAATTATTGCATTATAAAACTTTCGCCATAAATAATGGAAACTTATTGCCAGCGATTGGGAAAAAGATGCAGTATCACCTTAGAGTGGCTATAACTTGTAAAGAAGCGAGGAGAATCCTATCAATTTATTGGACTTAAATACTCTTTGAATGGGTCATTTTCATAAAAAAAAGGTTTATTTTTGTTTTTTCTTGTTCAGGTATACATATAAATTAAATAAAATAAACATTTTTGTTTCGTTGCGCTTTCTAAACAGTAATTTCTTGCCCATACCAATAGAAATAAATATAATCTGTTCAGCTTTTATAAAATTAAATCAGTAATAAACAATTGCATTGTAAAATATCCAACATAGCTGGCGCGCTTCAAAGTTATAGCTGGTGTTGCCTTTTTATACTTTAGTTACTTGATGTCTGAATGGGCGAATGCCCGAAAATTGCCGACAAAATTTATGTACTGCCCAGGGAAAGAAAGAAAATGTGGGCGAACGAACTATGACCATATGTAGGGTCTGATCTGGGGAATCGGGAAAGTGGTGGGCGCGAGGAGGCAACTGTGGTTTCGGTGGCCAAAGTTGCAACAAAACTGAAACTTTGGACTGGCAAAAATTTTTAATCCTCGCTTGCTTCTTCTCCTTTTATTATTCCTACTTTTTGCAGATTTTTTTGTTTGAATCTTTTTTGCCGGCTTGGTGGGCGGTGGGCGGTGGGGGGTTAACATCCATCCAGTGGCGGACAATACGTTCGGTTGTTTTTGCAGGGAGCTGGCTGCGCTTCGGCACAGCTTGCGGTAAAACTTTTCAATAATATTCCCAAAAGTCCAGTCCAGACGCCGATGAGCAGGAAGGCGAGAGACACCGGAGTGCCAGTGCCAGTGGCAGTGGCAGCGGAAGTGCCGCCGTAGTTTGGCCAACTAGCCTGGGATAGCACAGTTTTTGGCGCCCAGGCAGCAATATTGCAATAATACCCCAAAAAAAATGAAGCACATTTGGCAGCCTGTTCTCAGAACCGGTTCCACTTCGTTAGCTTCAATTCGACATTTATTAACATTTTTCAAATGTTCTGAATTGAACGACGAAATGGGTTATAATAAATTGCACTCTTTCTGCATTGCAGTGGTTATCTTTTGAACTAATTTAATGAAATTATTATATATCGATTCAGGAGTTATATATTGCCTATTAAAGTCAATGGTTACCGCAATGAAATCATTTAATAAATCTAAATGATTTCGATCAATTATTAAATGAAATATAGATTTATTAGTTTTATATTGTGTATGAAAGTATATGGTTTCCACAACGAAAACATTTAACAAAGTTTAAGTTATATCTATCAACTATTAAATGATAAATTTGTTTGTTTAAGAGTTATTAATTGTCATACACGTTATTATTACTTTAAATGGAAAAAGTTTAGTTCATGAGCCAGCACTGTTTATTTATGTTTTCATAAATTAAATGGCTGTGTAGAAAGTCGTTATTAATAATTTATATATAAATAAAAAATAGTTATTAGGTAAATTACATTTCCCACTATGCTAGCAGATAAAAATAATAGATGTACCTGTAAATATGTATGTACTAAGGATTATAAAAGAATGTATTTTGAAATTTGTTTCTATCATAGGTATCAGAACCCCCCACTCACTATTTTTTAAGCCTTCATAATCAATGGCAAGTCATTTGATGCTGAATCAATCGTTTAAGAGTAAAATTCTTGAATTTGACTATCCAATCGAATGCGTTTCCGGGAATTGCCATCCATTCAAGTCTGGCTTTGTTTTAGAGCGCCAAGCAGACAAATTCAGCATTTCCTGCACACGTGGCTTTGGCGATTTCCTTTTGTGCAAACATATTTTACCGCAATTGCGGCACATATACCCGTGCAGCGAGTTTCAGGGCGCCATTGAGGCATAAGTAACGGAGCTCCAGTCCCCGAACTCGATCCGGTCTGATTCGCTTGTCCCCAGCGCCCAGGATCCAGGACCTAGTGCCCAGGACACAGGACCCAGTCCCCTGACCACTTCTATGTCCCCTGACCGTGTCCCATTCATATATATAAATATGGATTTTTGCCGTGCGTCTAAGCCATAAGTTGACCGGTCTTCCGCCCTTCTCGCCCCTTTATAAAGCCCTTGGCTATCCATTCATAAACTCAATTCAGGCGCAAGCCCAGCTCATGCATTTTTTTCTCCTTTATTTGCACTGCGCAAAAGGGGATTTTAAAAATACTTATAGTTGTATCGCCCGATAGTTTGAAATCGAAAATCCATTAGGCAAACTTTTATTAGCATTTTGTATACGTTCTTAAAGATATATTTATCGAGAAATACAATACAAGCAAGGCTACCATTTGTAGATACAAATTCTTGAAGTTAAATTAAACAACGTTATAATTTGGTTATATTTTCTTAAAAAATGTTTGCTTATTAAACGTATCCTTTTATATTCCAATCAATTAAATTTTGACTGATGTGAAATTAATTTTATATAGTGTATTAATAACATAATTACTGAATTTATATATCAATTTAAAATTTAAATAATTTTAAAATGTACACAAAGAAAAATGAGCTAAAATAAAAACGAAAAAAAAATTGCAGAAAAACATTACTTATTACTTACTTATTTTAGAAACCAAAACATTATCTTTATTTATTTCTTTAAGATTTAATTAATTTTAGATTTTTTAAAATTATTCAAATCTTCATCTTAGAAGCTACAACCGAACCAATAAAGTCCAATATAAGTTTAAGTTCTAGAAAAAGTAAAGATTTGTAATTAACTCAAACTAGAATAGACTTACAAATTCGTTAAGGGGTTAAATAAAGTTTTTTCTAGCAGTGTAGCTTAGCTCTTTTGTTTCTCATTTACTGCACGTTATTTGCCTCGCATACCGCGCCACCACCGCCTTCATCG